CCTCCCAATGTGGGGTGAGAAGAACAGATTCCTGAAAAGGGTCTTTAGTTTGCCAATATTTCTAGTGCCATATCCACGTTTCCCAACCTTCTTGTAACTCCCTCCTTTGTTCCAGTGTGTCATTAAACACTGGAATCCATAATCCACAATCCTATTTGCATTGTCACTAACAGGCCACCTTGGCTTTCCAAGAAGGAAAATATTTCTGTCTGTTGCCCATAATTCCTGGTCTTGACACTGCTACCTGGCCTGTAACGGCTTATTTTTCAGTGTTATCTCTACTTATTTCTTAGCTAATCTTCACTGACGATTGTTCCACTATAGGTAGTCGCCACTGTTGGAATAGCTACCACTGAACTACCTAGGCTCTAGTACTCTGAATAGTATAATGACCAAATAAATAACAACCAAAGACAACACTAGAACCAACGAACATTCCGCTTCAGGGACAAAGGCCATAGCTGCACTGATAGAAAAGCTTATAGCCCAATGTGTGGCCAGAAGTGTGCCAGGATATCATTATCTAGAAGGGATGAATTGTGACACAAGGAGATATACTACATTCAAATTGAAAGACCAGCATCTTAGTCCACCTTGGGCAATAAAGGAAGATATCACTGATGTGTTTTCCATCTGCACAAGTATGTTAAACTACTGTTAAAGTGCTGAAGGGTCAAAATCCCGCTGTAGTTCTAGAGCACTGATTTCCACTGACCTGCAGCCACTTCAAATATCATAATGTCACGTCTCGTGCAGTGATGACTTTCCTGTGAAATAACCAACCTAGGAGAACCCTGTGTGAGAGATTGTTCAGATATGTCTGTCAGTGGAGGACATGTTAGAGTGCAGGCCACCACACAGAAACCTGCTATCACCTCTGTCCTTTCCTCTGAGGCAGTGGTTCTCAAACTGTGGTACGCGTACCAGTTGTGGTACACGGCGCTCCGCCAGGCAGTTCGCTATATGACATCGGAAAAATTGGGCTGGATTTTCATATTTTCTATTTTAATAAAATTAATTTGTGTCAAATACACAGCCTACGTACTATGATACAGCACGCGCTAATACTTGAGTGGACAAAAGAGCTACAATGTAATTCTATACCATTCTATAGGAATGCGTGCTATGAACGCAAGTGACCAATTTATCTCCAGCAAATAGGGAGGTAGGAGAATGTGCGTGATTTTGGAACAATGCCAGTGTTGTAAGCACAGGAAAGCATAGAAATGCATACTATGAAAATATTTAATATACAAAAAATACAAAAATATTTAAAACTGTTCTAGGTTAATTTGAGAAAAACACACCGAGCGTCTCTGTGGTTCGCTCCCATGCGCATGGAATAAAAACTTCTTTTAACTTCTGAGACAGACTCCTGAAATGGAAATGGGGAAAAATGCAAACTTGCGGATGGCTAAAGCGGGTAAGCCCCACAGTATTTTTGAAGAACCTTATTTACCATTGGCAAAAGAGCTGACACATACTGTATTATGTACGGAGAAAAAGCTACTAAACAGCTCGACCTGCTGCCCCCTCTGAAAGACACAGCCACTCATAGAATTATTGATATGGTGGATGATGTCAAACGTACGCTGATAGAGCGTGTTAAGATGAGCAAATGCTTTTCACTGCAATTAGATGGTCTATAAATGTCTTTGATTTGGCCAATTTGCACATTTACGTTCTATATGAGTTTGAGGGCGTGTCCCATGAGGACTTTCTGTTCTGTAAGCCGCTACCAACAGGAACTACAGGAGAGCACATATTTCAGCTTCTGAATGAATTTATCAAAGAGAATGGCATCGACTGGATAAAATGCGTCAGAGTTTGTACAGACAGTGCTAGAGCGATGACAAGCTGAAACAGCAGTGTAGTTGCAAGAATTAGAGAGGTGGCTCCAGATATGAACTGCAGCATCCACTGCAAGGCCTTGGCCGTCAAGAAAATGTCTGATGATTTAAGATCTGTTAGGCTTTGCTCGACTTAACAGGCTCACCCCTCTCACTGAAAGGGTGCTTTTTATTGTTTATTTTTAATTGTTGTTTTTCCTTTTGTCATTCTTTAAAGTGCTTTGAGAAGCCATCTTTAAAGGCACTATATCAAATAAAGTTTATTATAATATTTTTAGATGTGTATGTGAGTGTGTGTGCGCACGCACACTCATGTTGGTCATTTAGATTTTCTGGGGTTCCTAGGAGAAGATGACTTGTAGGTGGTACTTGGATGCTTTGGTTTTATTAGGGGTGGTACTTGGTCCAAAACATTTGAGAACTACTGCTCTGAGGAGTTCACTTCTGAAAGCCTTGTAAAAAACACAATCAGGATGAAGGGAAGGTGTGGAACAAATTCTTCAAAAATAAAAAAAAGTATTTTGTAAAAATGTGAATAAAGTTTTTAAACACAAAAATAAACAAACAGAAGAGCAAAATGTTTTAAGGCAAAGATTAGAAACTAAATATACAGGTAGAAATGGAAATCTTACCGTACTATTTTGAAAGCAATAGCTAGGAGCTTAACAATAATTCAAATAAGGCAGAGAAAATGGCAATACCTCAACTTATGCCCAGTATGTGGTAGATCAAAGACACCAGGTGTCAATCAATCCACAGAAAAAGCGAAAGCTAATAGACTTGACAATAAACTGTAAAGATAGAAGAGATAAGAGATAAAATGGTCTCAGTCACTTGCCTAATGTGAACAATGAAAGAGGAAATGTAAGGACTGGCCTATCCATGTATCCCCTCAGGAAGAGGGTGGAGTTAGGACCTCAGGCTTATAACAGGCCTATTGGTGGTATTAGTATAAATGCTTGGTGTGAAGCCCCAGGGGCAGCAATATCACACTGCCTGGTGGCTACACTTTGAAATGGAAGCTTGACAGACTGCAGGAGCTCAGGCATAGGTTTCATTGCCTACAGCCATCTCTAAATGTGGAACCAGCATTGTTACCTGCTGGGTAGTAAAGCTTTATGAGACATGCTCTGTGTTGTGAACTCAGGATGAATAGCTTTTCAGCCAACATGCAATTATGTCCTTTGTGTTCTCTGCACTATGGAATATATCACCACTAGGTGGTGAATTGTTTTCACTACCATTTCTATGCCCGCTATCCCATTTATGTATCCTGTGAATTTTATGTAAACTGCATGAAAAAATACAGAGGTACTGTATTATTCACTCTAATCCTCAAAATCATTTTTACAGTGCTCTCCAAGAATATCTGGGACAATAAAGTCCAAGCTATGTTAACCTTACAGTCATGTCTTCATGATCATGAGATTAGTATACTGTAAGTACAGTATAATATACAAATGAACAAGTAAAAGGTTTATTCCAAGCTGAAAAAAAGAAGAAAGAGAACACAACATTTCGGCCGTGGAGCCTTCTTCAGGTGTCAAGGCTCCATGGCCGAAACGTTGTGTTCTCTTTCTTCTTTTTTTCAGCATGGAATAAACCTATTACTTGTTCCTTTGCAGCCTATGCATGCTGACGCAGCTACCCACCTGAACTACTACAGTATAATATACATTATATTTTGGGGTAATTCCATACAAACTTTCATCATATTAAAACAAGTACTTTATGTTCAACCCAATGGTTTTAGGGAACTAAAAGTATTGAGACACATTGACCTCAATGTGTAAAACTCAAAATTTGGTTGCAGTTTGCTTTGACAGAATAACTGCATAAATGACCACTTTTGGAAATTATTTACTAGTTCTGAGGGTGTACACCAACATTCTTTCTGCTTATATCGAAGAAAATGATACCATACATCTTGGGTGGTGCTTCACCCAATAGTTTTTTTTTTGGTCACAATGACCCAATACCTTATCAAGGAGTTGCGTCCTTGAAATCAGGAGTCAGTCTCCAGATTTAAATACAGTTGATTATATATTTTACATTCTGGAGAAGAAATTGAAACGCTTATTCAGAACAATTCAAGATTAGGTATGAATTCAATCAGACTGTAGCAAAGTCTCAAATGGTTTAGTGAGCTCAGTGGGTTGCAAACTTCATGCAGCTATTACTTCTAAGGAATATGCAACCAAAAACGGATTTTTACTCCCTGCACTTTGCATAATGTAATTGTACTACTATTTACCTACAGTCTTTGGCATTTTAATAATTTACTGTTTATACCATGCTCTAAAATGCATCTATTCTGCTTTGAAAACAAAATCAATATTAAGACAAAATACCACCTTTAAACATTTAATTAAAGATTTGCTAGGTTCATAACTTAATATTTAAACAGTGATAAACATTGGAAAAATTTGTGTTCCCTACTGGGCAAGAAGATACTCAGATTAAAATAGTGAATTACTGTATAATGGAAAATGAAAAACAATATTCTACTTTAAATAAATTCTCTTTTTTTCCTTTCTTAGCAAAATGTTTTCTTTTTTAAAGTCATACAATCCTCGGAGAATATCAAGGTCACATTTGTCAAAGGAAAGCACAACACTGAGGCCACAGGAAGCTCACTAGTCTGTTTTGTTATTTTTTCCAACTCTCCCATGTCTATAATACTGTCTACCTACATTAAGCACACATATTTTAAAACAGTTCTGTTTCAACAAATGAAATTTTAAAAGTGCTACAATATAACAAAAGGTCACAAAAAACAAAAATGTGCAATATAGTGCTGCTAATTCTTAAGAGCCAATTAAGAATTAGGAAATAAATGTGTATTTGCATAAAAGCCTCTTGCAGTATTTCTATTTTGACATGTGTATGTATCATAATATTTCATAAGTATATAACCTTCATTTCCTTTTAATTTGCTTTTGATTTATGTTTTAAAACAATTTATTTTTATTTCTCATTTTAGACTTTGCATTCACCACAGGCTTAAATCAATACATTTCATCTAACAGTCACATTGACAAACATAGGTCCTTATATAATCTTTTAATACTGCATATTTTTACAGTTGTAACTATGAGCCATCTTTTGCTTAAACTTGGGGTTGTAATATAGATATACTTTACCTTGCAGTGCTCAGTTACCTGTGGAAAGGGGATGCAGTCCAGGGTGATTCAATGTATGCACAAGATCACAGGACGCCATGGCAATGAATGTTTCTCATCCGAGAAACCTGCAGCTTACAGACCCTGCCACCAAGAGCCCTGCAACGAGAAAATTAACGTGAACACTATCACCTCTCCAAGACTAGGTGAGTGATGAACAATAACATATGTTTTGTATACTTATCAAAACAATTCATCCCCTTCCAGTGAAGTCCCAATCTGTTATGTATTCTGGTGAAATACAAATGGTGTTTACTCATTTTTTTAAAGGTAACATTTTAGTCGAATTGAATGCTGAACCTAAACACTTTCATGAGTGAAAAAACTTAACTGTTGTCAAAAACTGCAAATGAAAAATAAAAAAAACACTAACTGCATAAGTAATAATTGCATAAGACCCGGGGTCAGTATTTGGTGACTTTCTTTTGTCTTTACTGTATGTCTCTGGGTGTCATTCTTTTTTGATAAATCTCTTTGAGATACTAACTTTGCACTGCAGGATGGTGCAATTTTCACCTGTTCTTCACCTATTCAAACTTTGTCACATTGGTTTGGAATCATTGATGAATATCAGTTTTCAAATCTTGCCACAGAATTACTGTCAGATTCTAGTTAGGACTTTAACTGGGCCATTCAAGGACATTCACATTCTTCCTTTTAAGCCACTTCAGTGTACAATAGTTTTGACCTTGTGCTTTGGGTTATTGTCCCCCTGATAAAACGTTTTCATCCCAGTTTTAGGTCTGTAGTAGACTAAAGCAGGCTTGTGTGTTTTGCCTGTTCTTTGCTCCAGCCATTTTCCCCTCAGTTTTGACAAGCTTTCCAGTTTCTGCTGATGAGAAGCAGCCCCATAACAAATGTTTGACCTTAGGAGTGGTGTTTACTGGGGGATGCACGTTGTTGAGTTAGTGCCAGATGTAACGGTTTGCATTTAGATCACAAAGTTTCATTTTCTCTCCTTTAAATAAAACCTTTTGCCACATGTTTGCAATATCACTTAAATGCTTTAATATGTGTTATTTTTCACTAATGGCTTCCTTGTTGCCACCCTTCCAATGGGGCCATCATTTTGGAGAAAATTAGATTTTGTTGAGGCTTTGACATTCTCTACCATCTCAACCATTGAACTCTGTACCTCTTTTAAAGTGACCATTGTTAGACACCCCTAACCAGTTTTCTCCTTGCTGGGTTGGTCACGTTTGGAAGGACTGTCTAATCTCAGCAATGTCTGGGTTGTATGACACACCTTCCCTTTCTTAATGATAGACATCACAACAGTCAAAGGGATATTCAGTATCTTCGAAATGTCTTTACACCCAGTTCCTGATCTGTGTGATACATGTCTGATATGTGTCTTTTACAAATTTATTTCTGAGGTGTTTTGAAAGTTCCTTGGTCTACATGGTTGAATCCTCACTCCCTGATATACAGTAGGTGGCTTACGAAGAGAGGTGTATTTATTCTGGAATCATGTGAACCACTGTCATTGGTCAGAGAGGCCAATTATCAAATTGTGTGACTTGCCAAAATAATTTGCTCACTTTAATTTTAGGATTTTCAAATCGTTACCAAAAGGGGTGAATACCTATCCAATCCAAATATTTGTATTTTTATTTTACAGTTGTTATTATATTATTTATATATCATTACAATGTTTTCTTTGTCGTTTTGCTTTTACCCATAAAAATGTTAAGCTTGAGCATTCAAGTACTGATTAAAAATATTTTTATTTTAAAAAATGTGTACACATTATGTGTAATTCAACAAAATGGGACATCATTGAAAGGGGGTGAATATTTTTGTAATGTTGTAGATACTGTATGTTTAACCATTATTCAAAGTTCTGTGACCATGAATATGATTGTGCAAAGAAAGTAAATTCTAGCTGGTAATACACCTAATAGAAAAGCAAATAAATATATTAATATTTTCTCTGTATTTTTCAGTGGTAGGAACAGGGCTTACCGTAGGCACCCATACATTTTCTAATCATTTTGTCCAATAAGCTGGAGTCTGAATAGCCAGGGGCTATTTAATTGAAATTTAATTGCATCCTTACATACTGTAATGATAAAAAGAAATACAGTTGCTAACAAATGTGTACCTGCTTTTGCAGAGCACTGGGTTCGGAAACAGTTGTTTTCCCAGACACTGAGAATTATGAATTATGTTTAATAGACAACCATTTATTTTGTTTCTTATTGATGTCTGAAAAGAGATGTCTATTTAAATTTCCACATTACTTAAAATAGTCCACAGATCAAAAAGGAATTTTCCTTAGTCATAATTTAACAAGAGATTATCAAAGTCAATTAAAGAAGTGAAACAGTGCTATTATGCCTGCACGTGTTATAATGTTGAATTAAATATCTGGCAGAGTCATTCCCAATAGAACTATTCCAAAGTTACATCCATTATAAATCATATATTAACCATTTTAGGTGTGGTGAGGCACAGTAATAACATGACAAAGGTTTTCCAAGATTTTAGAAACCTATTAACTACGCAAAACATATGAAGACATACCGAATTACGGTCATAACAAAGTTATTTGTGTGATATTAACTGAAATGCAATGTCATAAACATGCAGCATTCCCATACTGATTTTGCAGAGATGATATCAAATTTAAGAAGCATTTTTGCAAACGTTGTTCTTAATGTTCTAATGTCTTTGTAAATCCATCAAGCACTCCAGACAAGGTCTTAAAAAAGCTTTGAACAACTATACTTTGTTTCTAAGTCATATTTGCATCTTTTACAAAATGATAAATCTTCATGTAAACATAACAGATGTTTTTATTTACAAAATACAATTTATATAAAAAGCAATATATTTGTGTATATTGCCTATACAAAGTAAAACTGTGTACATCTGTTTCTGTATATTGAGATGTGGTGTGTTAAGATAATACCTCCAGCGCTGACATTTACCCTTGTGGAATCTGTATCTCATTTAAAAATAGACGTGCAATCTCAAAAACCATTCTTAAATGACAGCTAAGTATATAAATCAACTTGTCTCTTTTAATTCAATAGTAAAGAATTAAACAGTGGTCTAGCAGTCTTCTATGTAGTTTTCTTATGTCTTTTTATGTCTCTGGCAGACATAAATGTTTATTAATTTTTGTTTCATTAAAGATCCTTACTTATATAGTTATATCAACACTATGGCACTAAGTATATTTTATGTGTTTCAGTAAACAGCTAGTGTGAGTGGAACAGTATACATAATTGCATACTGTTAACAAATTTAATAAATAAATCTTGTTTTCTTTGTAGTATGCTCAATTGTTAAAGTATACAAATAATAGCAGGGCCTAGGCTGTAGGTGAAAAGAAGCTCTGTATCATCTAATTACTGTATATTTGTGGGAAAATACAATTCTTTTTTTTTCCTTTCAGTATTCTCAAAATATAGAATTACTAAAATAATGCAATGAAAATATTAAAAAACGTATTTTTTGTGCTGTCTCTTTAAGTGGTCATGTCAGATTTCTTGCACTCAGCAATGCATTTAGTGACACCTAATGGAGAAAAAACAACTATGTTAATGCAGAAAGGCTGATTCATAATTTCCAGACCTGTCTGGACGTTGTAGGAAAATAAGTGATATACTAGTAGGTAGAGTCACTTAACTGCCACACATTTCTACTGAACATTTTCTTTTTCAAACTCCAGTTGAAAAATGTTGACAAGTGTAATCTTGACAAAAACATCTAAAATATATGTTGCACGTGTTTTTCTTCTTTTTTAGCTGCCTTAACGTTCAAATGCCTGCAGGATCAATGGCCTGTGTACTGTAAAGTGATCCGAGAAAAGAACCTGTGCCAAGACATGAGATGGTACCAGCGCTGCTGTGAGACATGTAGGGACTTTTATGCACAAAAAATGCAGCAAAAGAGTTGACGACAGTATGAGAATTTGTTTGAAATTCCACCATTATTTATATCAAGAACATGCACACAAAGAAAACATCCCTTTTCAAGCACACATATTCTGGATAATTTAAATGGTGTAATTTATTCTTATAGTCTGTGGATTGTTTCTGTTATGTCTGTTGTGTAGTGTGTGAAAACAAAAAACATGCTGTTCTATGAAAAATGTAAATGTTTAAAAGCAAATGCCACTCTTTCAGAAATAGCACATTTATTTCAGCCTCGTTTGGCTTAGCCATAGAGCAAGATGTTCTATGGTTTGTAACAGAGTCAGCCCAGATTATAATGTGTAGCTCAGAAATGAAATGTGATAACAGCAGATGGCCAGAAAAGAAAATGTGCTGAGTTTTATAAAACCGTGTACTGATATTAAAGATGGCTGCATATAACCCTATACATTTTATATTAAACAGTATTGGTGCTTCTCAAGACTAATCAGACATTACAGTTAGCATCCCTGTCATATATATCTATGCACAAAAGAAACTTAACATTCTTGTCTAATGGAACATAATATATTTTAAATATTTTAATCATAGATCCTTCCATCCATTTTCAGTAAATGTTTTATCTTTAGTGGCTCATAATGAGCCAGATCCTAATCCAGCAGGCACAGAGCCATGGGGCTACACTTTTGATGGGACACAATCCATTGCAGGGCACACAAACACTTGCACTCACACATACTGTACTTGCATATGGGGGTAATTTAAAGATGTCTGTTAGCCTGGACAACATGGATTTCAACTGTGGGAAGAAAATGTAGTTTACACATAGATGTTGAACAAAATCACAGAAAATGTGAACAAACATACATATCAAAGAATCATGATATGGTTTTTAGTGTGAGATACAGTATGGCACAATGTCAAAATGAAAATATAATTAAGTCATTGTCAGGAATACCATCCCTGTGTGCTAACACTGTCCTGGCATTATTGATGCATAGATCTGATGAGCCTGTGGGCAGAATACTGTAGGATATTCCACATCTGGACTGACGATGCTCTATTAGACATAATGATCTAGCTATAGGAAGACATTTTTGCAAAGGTGTGCCATTTTAATACTATCCCTGTGTGGTTTGTCCTGCTGGAAAATCAACACATTTAGACTGACCTGCTGAGGAAATTAATAACTTAAAGACTCTGACAATTTATCACTAAGCAGTAGGCTTGCCCTCAATGTGTATACTTACAGTATGTTAAAAGACATTCTTGCCCATGATATCATTCCTTCACTACACCACATATTGGCTTCAATAATACATCAGACACTACAACAACCCCACACATTGTCACCAATCACGTCTGTCAAGGACAAAACCACATTTGATGGGAAAAACACACCACCACTCTGCAGCCCACAGAAAACAGTGATTCCATCTCTTCTCTGTGAGCGCGTTTCCCCTTGAATAGTCTCCAAACATGCAGATTATTTTCAGGTAGATTGATGAGTACAGTTGTTCTTGTGAAGTGTGACTCCAGTTTGAAAATTCAGATGGATCAGATAGATGTGATGTAGTGGACCACCGTGGTGGCCTCTGCCCTCAACAATATGGTGTCACTCAAAGAGAAGGTTTCTTGTCTTTTCTGGTCTAGTCTGCTGATTGTTCAAGCTGTTGTAGAACGTTTTTGCAAAAAGCCTAAGACTGTGTTTTGTTCTTTTTACAGCACACTTTAAGGTTAAATATGCAGAACATATTGAATGCAAACTATAGTATAGTGCCCATGGATGATACTTATTTTCTCATTAGTAATAAGAATGTGAACATTACATTCTTATTTTCTGCACATACTGTACATGAGTGGTATAAAGTCATGCTGAAAGCAGAATGAGCAAAGTCATTGAAACATAAAAAATGTTTTTAAAAATGTCTGGGTGGATATTTTATATTTTCTAACTTGTCCAGCCATTTATTATATCCTTCACCATAACAGTGCATGAAATATATTAGCTAAATTCTGTATTTGTGAGGTGCAACTTTAAAATATAAATTAAGCACGGTCCCAGTTCTAGTCTGGCAAATTTCATGTTTTTATTATTTTATCATTTCAAAGTTGATGTAATCAATGCTACTGTAATTCAGAAATATTCAAAGGGGAAGCTGGTATCCACCCATTCTCAAAATTATATTTCAAGACATCAATAAAAATATAGTGGTTCATGGAACAGGTACAATATATTTGTGACATAACTTAATTTTTTTCCTTCAGTTTGATTAGAAAACAGCAAGTATGAGATAGTTGTAAAACAGTACAAGTATAAGATTACAGTGTATGTGGAGTATGTGCAAAATATGTCTATCATCTAATAGTCAGTTTGTGAGAATGGTATTGGGATGTCATTTAATCAAAATGCTATATAAATGGGTCAAAAAAGGAATTGTTGGCTGTATTTAGGAAAATAGTTACAGATGTAAAAATTTCAGCAACAATAGAGTGCAACTTCTTTCACTGGCACTTGGAACTTTAGTGTCACCTGCTGGCTAAAGAAACACATTAAGTCCTTTGCCTCAGATAGGGGGCAGCTTTTCAAGTTTTTTTCAAACTTAGTTTATGGTCTTATCAAATACATTATCAAAGCATTTGAGCTCAAAGGTTGTTTGAAATAATCTGAGAGGAGTTTTGTTACATGTGGCTTCTAATATTATGAGGTTTTACAACAATTATCCTTTGTAGAAGGTATTTTTACATCAAGGTTTTGCAGCTTCTAGCATTTCAGGTCTGCTGTTGTTTTAGTGTGAGAAGTCGTTTTTAATGACAAGTGGATCCGGAGGAGCTGGAGCTTTATGAAAACTAATTTATTTGCTTTCTTTTATTTCAGCCTCTTGTAATTTATGGATTTTAAGAGTTGTGCAATACATATACATTTTTTTCCATTTTATTATGAATGTTATTTGCTTATCTGACACCCTTATTCAGGGCAATGTACATACTAGATTTTATGTAACGACAAGGAACTATTGTGCAGGTGATGATGAAGAGGCGCTGTCTTTATTATACTGATTTTCCTGTTTACTCTTCCATTTAGGCCAGAACAATGTTAAGAAGGTAATAAAAAAAACAAGTACGATGCTTAAAACTCAGACAAGTCTGAGGTATTTTGAATTCATTCCATAAGACCTGTCTCCCAGAATCTGTGACTTATAGAACTGTGTACTTTGGAAGGTAACTGTAAAAAACCTTTAAATGTAACATTTGATTTTTCCATACTTACTTAACCTGTGTTCTAGGTACAGGAATGACTCATTTTCCAGTCCATATGCTGCAATAAAGATTATCAGTTGCCAGTCATTTTAAGCTCAACATGGGGACAGAAAGACATAATAAAACACTAATATAGCTGCTGTAATAGCCAGTTATTCTCATAAATGGCAACCTGAAAATGGATTTTTGCTGCCTAGTGAATCCTAAAATCATTTTTATCAATGTTTAATTTTTTTTTAATTTAATTTTATATCATATTTAACATTCCTCATTCTCCTTTGTGACAATGGTATTGAGGTCACTTACTGCCACTAGGATTCTGTAATCCCTAATCATTTACTACTACTAAATATAAGAAAATCATATATTTATGATTTACAGAGATACAATGAACCATCTGTATTTTCTTGTTAATTTCTGACTTCTGTGAAAATGTGAAATTCTGTTCACATTCTTTTCCCTTTTCAATGGTTTATCCCAGTGACAGATTAGGTTTAAATCTCGTGGTGGTCTGCCAGAAAGAAGGGTTTAAAAGAAATTGGTATTAAATGGGTAAAGAAAAAAAATGCTTCATCGATGCAATTTGAGTTATTCTGGGTTACAGAAGCTCAGGAAGGGTTTTTTGTTGGAACACTTATTCGGCTTAACAAAAATGTCTGCTGGGCATTAAAACATGAAAAACTAGTGAAACACAATTTAGATTAACTATTGTATTCTTTCAAGGTAATTTTTTACTATAATTCTTTTTCTAATATTTCACTTTCTACCTGACTGCCAGTGGTTTCATAAAGTAGGGCAAAAATGAATGAAACTATAACATTCGTGTTAAACAACATGGGTATACAGTATAAGTATTGAGAGTTGTTTGCAGAGATCAGATAAACAAGGCTTTGAATTAAAACAGATATTTTATTTCAAAGCCTTTATTTCATTAAATGGTTCATGAAGCTCCAGGAGCATGATGTTCTAAACAAAGAAAAACATGCCTTTCTCAGAATCTTCCTTATCTGCACAGAGAGGTAGACCCTAAATACTTTCCTCATTCCACTATGTTAGAGTCTCTTAGTATTATAGAGTGTCTTCTTTCTATGGACAGCTAAGTCACTGCTGAACTTTGCAGGCAGTATACACTGTAGCCTCAACAGTGTTTTTAAGAATGTGTAAGGAATGTACTGGAATGCATTACCATGTACCCCGTAGAATGTTGGTATGAATAAAATACTGGTATAAAAATAATCAGAATTCTGATAAATAATATTAGGATAAAATAATTTTGTTGTATAAGTATATTTACTTCTTGTGATGAATTAAATAATAATAAATAACAAATGTATTTGCAAAATCTTCCAAAACACCAAAGAAATTAAATGTACAATATCAACAAAGTGTTCTTGGCAGCACCTTCTACTCCCTCCATCTAGATCTTTGTTCTTCTTGAAATAAGAACTGTAAGTCATCACAATGTATGACCTCTTAAATTTGAACAGTTTTACTGTTAGTGTATGTTCTGTTATTGTAGAAATTCCATGCAAGGGTTCATTTAAAATCAATTAAAGCTTGAAATACAGTCTAAGTTTTTCTAGGCATAGGATCTCTCAGCAAAGGCAATATTAATCTGTAGCTTACTGAATTCAGGCTGAAACACAGTGGCACCATTAGGAAGCATAAAGGGAAAGACCCTTTTTAAATTACAAAAATGTAACTGGTATTCTTCTGGCAAATGTTTAAAAAACTAAAGGGAAACTATAATGACACTTATAGCTAGATTGTTATTCACATTATTTATCTTTTCAGCAATTATGTAGTTTTATTTATTTGATACACCACTTGCAAAGGTAGTGTTGTTTATGTATTATGGCATGCTCTGCCACATATTAAAATATAAAGTCGTGGTCTGAGCTTTAAAGTTGACCTGTTGCTCAGCTGCTCTACCGTTAAATAGGAAAATAATCTGCTGTATATCATGAATACATTTCACAAAATATAAAAACTATTAATCTTTTGGTATTGTGTGTTATTCCACAGTCTTTACTTGAATAAACATATTTAGAAAAAATAAAATAATAAGAAAACACTGTATATTTTTACACTGAATTGCTGTCGCACTGGTTTAGACTTGAAAAGGTCTTCCATCAGGACATCTTATGGTGCATGAATACTGCTTAATTTTATCTTCTGTTACTCATATGAAAACAAGATGTTGATAGCTCAAAGCATTTGATAGGTATGATATGAAAAATCTACTCTATTTCTGTTATGACTGTTATGCTATGCCTACGTTTAGGCTGTTTCTTGTTCAGTTTGTAGCATCATCTTTGGAAAGTTTTGCAGGTGTGTGAAACTTTGTGTGGCTTCAGTTTTCTTTCTGTGAAAATACGCTCTGTACATGATACATATGATGTTACATTTTCAATAAAAAAGAACGTAGTATTCATTGAATGTGTATTCTCCATTATTTCTAGCTCCTGTTGCTATTGGAAATAACATCTTTGTTTAGAAGAAAAAATGCATATTGAAATATTTTATATCTTCGCCATTTGTGTTTGGTCACAGTACCTCTATCAGTTGACCAAGTGAGGTATAATGTATTACCTATATGCAACTGATGAAAAATACCTGAACGTATCACTTATGACATGTTTGTGCTAATTTCAATAACTACTTTTGAGTGTTTCTCGGTGTACTGTTCTTGAAATCACAAAGATGTCAAAGTATTTTATTTAGGCAGTTTGCCTAAAAAAATGTCAGCCCCAAATCTGCATTTCAGGGTAGATTAAGTGCTTACTCAGGTTTTTTGAAGGAAGGTCACTCCAACATTGACTTCATTGTGAGACATCAGGTGACATCATTGTGAGAGTGTTCATTGTTTATTGTTTTGACCTCCCACTTCTATTTATAGTTGGATGTTATCCTTTGTTCTGTTACTTTATTATAAAGTGTAAGGAAGAAAACAAATTGGGCATTGATTCAATATCCCTTAGTGACTAACCTCTAGTCCACTGATAGATGTACGATCCATACATTTTATGAAATGATCCTGTTATTACATAGGTTACATTGAGCAGGTCATCAGATTAAGACCACCTCTAATAGTCTTGTGCTTATCAGAGAACACAGCTTCAGCAGCAGCAGCAGCAAAAACTAATACCTGGGAAATTTGTAGTTTTTAACTGAAAACAGATTGTTTTCTAAGACTAAAGTATTTAAAACACAAATTTTACAGGAGAAAAAATGAATTTACCTCATTTGGTAATATATTTTTGGTCACGTTCACATTTGAGTATGGCAAAGCACAAGAAATCTGATAATGTATAACAGTGAAATTGTTTCTGTATGCACATTCTTTATGCAATTATGAGATTTTATTACTTTACGTTTTCATGCTCACAGAATGTGTAAAATTCACATCATTCAACTCACTAAAAACACTATAGGAAATTTAAATTTAAATTAGCATAATCACTACAGCATTTTCATCTACAGTGTATTAGGCTCTGGCTTTAACCCTAGGATGCAGGACTGACAAAAATTTAGACATACGGTATCATTCACTTTGAGTCTCTGAGATCCAGGGTTGCATCATAGGGTTAAACACACACCAGGTCTATGTATTTGTACAACACAAATCATTGACTCTAAAGCTTTGATGGGAATGTACTTGTTTAAAAGGAGTTTTAAACAAACTTGTCTTTCCGTAATTCCTTGTACCAATCTATAACCTTTATAGATATATCACTTTTCTTGATTACTCACTTGTATGTTTCATTTTCTCAATTGGTGTTTTCTATAACAGACACAGACCTGCCTAAAGAAAACCATAAACTCCAGCATCCAACCAATCTGGAGTACTCAAACACAGTCCCCGCCAATCACAAGTTCCAAGGGGTTTCCCTTTCCTTCTTCCTCTCCTTCTTGCTGGCATCCTAGTGCTGTAATCCAGGTGCACTGCGGAAGAAGGAGGTCTGAGATTCCTCCTTACTTCAGGATGCCTGCATCCCTTCAATGGCTCCTCTGCTCAGCTCCAGGTCTGCACTCCTGACCTTCTGCTCAGGTTACAACCCATCTTCATCAATGGACCCTTCTCGATACTCTTGATTCCAGTTCTCCACCCCTACACTTGGCAATCATCACCACCACCCAGTCAGTGGAGTAACTAGGCAACGCTCAGTTCCAGCTTTGTATCCCTTGCTTTGGTTCAGGTTGTCACCCCACTGCATCAGTGGAATCACAGCACATCTCTTTCCCTGTTCTTCCCTGCTCCCCTTTTTTTCTTCAACCTTTTCCTCTTTGCAAGCAGGGCCGGATTTCCCATTAAGCACTGTAGGCACAAGGCTTAGGGCCTACGAAATGTTTAGGGCCTACAAAGGAGGGAAACACTAGTAACTAACGGAAAACGAGTTGAAACAACATGCTTGTGATCGACTCTAGGTGCTCCAAATCAATAATCATACGCCATCTAGCAGCTGTTTTAGAAACTTAAAAATATCGAAGTGATGATCGCTCCATCAATCACATGGTTTAGCATCAGAATAGTTTAAAGTGCATCATGTCAATCGACATAGTTCAATTGGCCTTTACCCCTCTTTTTGCACATTTCGGAGTGAAAGATTCTAGGGCCTACAGACACCAAAATCCGTCCCTGTCTGCAAGATCTAAATCTTGCAAATTAACATCTTGGCAGTAACATACACTGTAGTAAATGGCATTTTCTTCCCCAAATTAAATTAAATGAAAAAGAAACGTACTAATAATTTCATCATTACTTTGTGAGGTTAGGTACGTTCAGTATGTGGATTCTTGCCCAGAGTAGCATCTTCAATGAAGGGCCTTAAATTTCTTCTCTGATTAACACGATGCACAATGCGTTAACAAGTCTTCTGCCTTTCCTCTGAAGTTGGTAATCCTTAACCTAAACCTGATCAAAGCAGCAGATCAAAACTTTTAGCCAGTGACAACCAGCATCACTAAATCCATTAAATTTATGCCTCTGCTGGAGCATCCTTAATTTATTTGTCACTCTCCATCCATCATTTTGCTTTATTTCATTGATGCTATCCCTGCTAGAACTCTTTTAGCCTTCACTCTGTTTTTTTTGGGCTTCTTCCAGCACAGAGAAAATTTATGCACTTTTCCTTCTGCGGGCCTCTACAATTTGTCCTTGATTCTAACCTTTCACGCCTCCTTGCCACAAGCCAGGCATTAAGTCAGTTCTCACCTCTTCTTATTCATGTGAGCTCTCAAACCTCTTTAGTCACTTAAACTAGCCTGTAGTTTGTGTGCATCATCCCTTAGGGTCCAATGTTAGATTCTCGACCTTGCTTTGTCCATAAGATCTCTGCACAATGATTAACCTGCATGCCAACTGCATAGTGAATTAAGGCTGTGGTTCCTGCTTCAGGAGCAATGGATGGCATAACATTCTATAATGACTGCCTTCTGTCTCCTGAAGACCTACTGTACAATTTCGGACTGCTGCCTCACAGTGCAGAGGGTTATTTGGACAGAGAAAAATAGTCATGGCTCCTGGCCTCATGAATCTTCTTGGATTCCTCTTAAGTATTATTCCAACTATACATTTTCGCCATCACCGCTCTTCTCTGGGGTAGTCTCTTGAAGCCAAAATCTTTCCTCATCCACTCACTTGCTTAAAATAAACCCTCTTTAAACCACATTTTTAGCACAATATTGGATACCAAATTGAATAAGGGTTTGTTGATCATATTCTTTAATATTTACAATTAAAACTTTAATATTTACTTACATTTAATAAATCTTAATATTTATATTTAATTTTTTTTAAGAATATACTGTTTGAACAGTCTATGGACTATGTAAATACAAATACACTATTGGAAGGTGAACATTATGTTATTGTCTTATTTTTATCTATCTACAATGTTATCACTCAGCTAAAATGTATTAATTAAAATAGTACACTGAGCTGTGTATTACATTTTCTTTCAAATGGTCTTATGTTCTTCAAGACAAATGGTCAGAGAACCCTTCTAGTAAAAAGTCAGTGAAAATATAGCCTCTCTCTCTACCTAACCCTTTCCTTTCCTTCAGTTGGTGCAGCTAAGACAGATAGAGTTTCACATAACTGCCAGAGCTGCTTACATCATAAATAATTTGGAGATGGAGCGGCTTAGCTAACACAGTATTTTCTGCCACGCTTCATGAAAAGCTTGCTAAATCATGGATTTCTCTGTTCTACCCAACAACAATCATCCCGAGAAGTTCTTGCAACTTGAGGTAAAATCTTTACCAATCAGCCCAGCTATGGCCCAGGCTGGCTTTGCAGCTGGAGCAGCCTTGTCTGGACACAGGCAGTGGCAGAACAGAGTCTATCTGCAGGTAGGCCTCTCTCCTCATGCATACAGAAATTAGGAATGTTTCTGCTTCTAAAGACAGGACTGAACAAAATAAATTAATTTACTTTACAGTACATAATATTTTATGGGTATTTTAAAGCAAATTCTTTATGTTAAATATTTCAATTTGGAGTTGTTTACATGTTGTTTATTAAGTGATTGAAAGAAGCTAAATTTCTTAAACCACGTAGAAAATAAGAATTTGTGCATAATTACATACATAGGGAAATGTTTGTGTATCTGTTGCTTTGTGTCTACAATATTTATTGGCGATAATCACACATTACGTTTAAATTAATAGGCCATTTTTTTCTGTTTTTTTATTTTGATATGTCTCATCTTGTAATATATATCAAATAATAATAATGTTGAGTCAGATGTTCATTTTTTTGCTAAACCGTTATCAAAAGTCTGCAGAAATGTAATACCACACTGAATGTAAAATAATAACAAAACTCAGGTCAAGGATATCATAAAATTTGACTTTTCCTATTTTATAAAGGCAGCTTTGGATAACATTGATACAGTATCTTTCTTATCTGAATCAGCCCAAAGAGATTTACTGAGTGAACAACCCAAAGAAACCAGAAAAATGACATCCTGTTATTCTGCCTCCCATCTCTCATTTCCTGCAGAGAGAGAAGAGAAATTTAAATGACTCTTATGGCTGGAAATCAACAGAAGGCAGCCCAGTACTCGTTGACAAAAGCCTTGGGAAGCACATCACCCCAGTCACCTTGAAATCCAAGATAAAGAGGAACCCTCTTTACTCAGACATAAGGACTGTTGATGGCTGGGAGAGCAAGAAAACACAGCCTTCCTGGACCATTCAAGAATATGATCGCCATTCACTGCACTCAAACCTGGCAGGCTACTTAAAGGTAAACATGATTCTAGTCAGGCTTGGCTAGTATTGCTGTCTTACAGCAATGGGGCCCTGGGTTCAATTCCAGACCTTATCTGCTATTATGTGAGTTTATATGTTCTTCCTCACTCACTTCCCCAGAATCCAATTAATCTACCAGTATACAGTGTATGTTTGGACTGTGAGAGGTAACCAGAGCACCTTGAAAAAACTCATACAAACACAGGGAGAAACTACAAACTCCACAGAGTCACAGAGGAATTGAACCCAGGGCCAAAGTGCTATGAGACAGCAATGTTAACCATACTGTCCGTATGCAGATCCTAAAATAACAATGAGAAATCTCAGTTATAAAGATGAAGGCTTTTTGCAAGGGATTAAGATAATCTAACTCAATAATCTAAGACGTATTATGTAGCATAAAAGAAGAAGAAACAATAATCGGCACTTTACATTAGCTGGCATTAGCTGAAATCCAGGGATTGGTCTTAATATGAAGTTAATAAAAAACTCAGTAATCAATTCAGTCATGCATGAGGATTTGGGTAAAAATAGGATGTTTAGTGGTCATGCTTATAATCAGGAGGTGACACCTAACCGAGTGTTGGTCCTGAGACAATTACAGATGAATATTATAGTACCTGTAATACTACATGTTCAGAAATTCCTGTGGAAGAGTAGGATCACTTGGCATTTGTTTCATACGGCATTATTTAAAATAAACTAAGAACAGCCAATTCATTGACTATCTCTTTTGGTCGAGGATTATTGTCTTACATGAACCCAAAAGTGACTGAAGACCAAATTTAAGACGGTACAATCTTGTCAAAATTAAATATCAACTATTTTTTTAATTCACAATTCTAGTTTTCTAAATGTACTAAATGGGAAATACTTTAAGCTGAGAGGTTGTTTGCTTGCAATGGTTGATGTAATCTATGGAGGTCATAACAACAGGAACAAATTGTTTCAATGACAACAGAGTGTAGATAAGGAAATAGAATAAACCCTTTTATCTCCATCCCAAATCAAATAGGAATCTAGACCCTGAGGCTAGATCTTTTGTACTCCCTTCATTTAATTGTATTGTTGGTAGGAGTGGAAAGGAATTTTAAGACAGACAATAGGCTTAACCTAACTAGAAATAAAATTAGTTTTTCACAACTCCTTTGGAAGCAGAAGCATTATCACAGACATAGCTTCATTTGGAAAGTAATGATAGATGATGCCATGTGATTCTGCTTTTACTGCCATTATCTACTACTATTATCTAAAAGTCTGAAGCACTGCTGTGCAGTTTAATGCAACAGCACCAAAGAAATACCTTTCTGTTTTGTCAGAAGACTGTGCAATGATGTAGTGTGAACCTGCTGTAAATCAGCAGGGTACCTCAGATAAGAAAGAAAGAGAAATAAATGCTCTGTAACAAAGAGACTGCCAGATAAATAGCTTAGAGGGAAATGAAAAATACTGTATATGTGTTAATGGCAGACAGTGGACAGATTTAAAAAAAAACAGGTACAGGTAGAGTATTATATGTCTTCCCATTAAAGATGTGACACAAAGAGGAAATTATCATGAAATAATTACTTTCACCTTTAAAACAAGAGAAAAAAAAACATATCTGCTGTGTAGTTGTAGTTGTTTTTTAAATATAAATTTGTTATTTCCCTGCCTTTTATCACATCCTTTTCTTTTGATTTCAATCCCGTCTTAGAAAATATCAATGTTTGCATTCCTTGGTTTATCTTTTCTCATATCTGCACCACAGTTATTCTGATTTACAGCATACTTTAAACAACAAGCATATTTAAACAACAAAAAATGCAAAATCTCCAAGGAATAAACAGTTTGAGTTGGGAATTAAATATATTAGGATTTTTTTACAGTTCTGATTCTGAAAACTAGCCAAGATTCTTTAACTGCAGTTAAAGCTGAACAACATGGCATGTTTTCGTAACGCTGACAGCATAGGGCCAGCATGCTGTTCATCCCAGCTTTTATTGCAAATCCCTAACCCACATAGATAAAACTTTACAATGTCATATTTTCCCCAATCCTTTCAAAGAAAACTGTTTTATATTCTGCACAAAAACTGTCAATACCCTGATATAAGATGTGACAAAGGAAGCACTAGGACCTGCTCTGTTCAGGAGCAGCATAAGACACGAATAATGACCATTTTTGACATGTCTGCCTTAAGTAAATCCTCATATGTCAAATGTCAGTTCCACTTCAGAGAGAAGGAACAGTACCTTTCAACTTGCTGCAATACTACTGACACCTGAAGTGAGAATGATAGAAGTTATTATGTTAACAAGGTTACTTTAACTTTAACGTTAAGTCCTATAATTGTATAATTTAACTTTAAAGTTTGGAATTGATTTGGTGTCAAAAGAAGCTAAGGCTTACAACCATCAAATTAAAAAGAATAAAATGATCATAATATTGTCGATCTATTCGTGTATTACCCTTTAAGGCTCCAAGTTGACACTTATCTGAGAGAAGATAATCAAACATTTAACATGCTTCTAGATCCTTGCTTCTAGCTGATGCATAACTGAGCAAAGTTTCAGAAAATAAGGAGCTCTTGTTTTCTAATGTAACATAAAGGCAGTCTATGGTGAACGTTTCATGCAACCTTTTGAACCAACAAAGGGTTAAAAAGTTACAAAAATAATATTCTGTTTCAGGAAGACCCCAGCAACCTCAGTTTTTGGATGGAAGATCTCTATACTCCTGGATATGATTCCTTACTAAAAAAGAAAGAGAATGAGCTGAAACGGAACAAAATTTGCAAAATAATCACCTTAATCTCTGTGTTAATATGCATTTTCATTGTAATTGTCACAGTGCCTATTGTTGTCACAAAACATAGGAATTAATGTTGCCAAGTATATTCATTATACTAATTTTAACCACATTGTTAATTTTATATATAATAACATAGCTATTTTGTTTTGCAAAGGTTCTAATAATAATAACACTTATATTACACTTTTCTGGACACTCCACTCAAAGCACTTTACAGGTAATGGGGAATCCCCTCCCCACCTGGATGATGTGATGGCAGCCATAGTTCGCCAGAATGATTACCACACATTAGCTATTAGTGAGGAGGAGAGCAGAGTAATTAAGCCACTTCATAGATAGGGATTATTATAGGCCATGGTTGGTCCCCATCACTATACTGCGGTATTAGGACCCACATGGACCACAGGGTGAGCACCCTGTTGCAGCAGTAACCTTAGTTTTTCCCAGGAGCTCTCCCATCCAGGTACTGACCAGGCTCACACCTGCTTAGCTTCAGTGGGTTGCTAGTTGTGAGTTGCAGAGTGATACGGCTGCTGGTTTAAATCATCACCTTTAATCATCACATTAAACTTGTCATGTTGATGTAGATTTTGCTTACATTTTCTGAGTGCCCCACAAACTGTAGCACAGTAGCTCACTATTACCTCCACTATTATCATCTCAATATTTTATTATGGTTTATTAATTATTATGGTTTTAATAGTGTAGTACATACAGTACAATACCTTGCAAATGTATTTAGACCTACTGTATGTATAGTTTTCCTATTTTGTTACTGTAGCTTGCAGTCATCTTTGTAGCACCAATTAGTGTTTTTCATGTACACACCCTACTCCACGCATTCCAAGCAAAGAAAGAAAAGTAAATGATGTAAAAGAAAAACGGAAAAGCCATGATTGCATAAGTATTCAAACACTTAACTATGGCAAACCTAAATTAATTTAGGTTCACAAAATGCACCGTAACAAGCCACACAATTAGTTGTGTGGCCTCTGTGTGCAATAATAGTGGTTCACATGATTTCAGAATAAGTACACTTATCTCTGTAAGGATCTTTGGTCAGGTGGTGAATTTCAAACAAAAAGTCGACCATAAAGATCAAGGAGTTTTCTAATAACTCAGAGATACTGTATCTCAGATACTGCCTAGATCAGGTTGTCCCTCCAAACTGAGCAGCCAGGCAAGGAGGAAACTGGTTAGAGATGCCCAGCAAAGTGCACTCATATCACTCAGTTAATACCATCCATAGTGTCAAGCATGGTGGTGGCAGCATTATGATAAAGTCCTACTCATCAGCAAGGACTGGAAAGCCTGTAAAGACTGTGGGAAAAATAAATATACAGTAGTTCAGGTGGGTAGCTGCATCAGCATGCGTAGGCTGCAAAGGAACAAGTAATAGGTTTATTCCATGCTGAAAAAAGAAGAAAGAGAACACAATGTTTCGGCCGTGGAGCCTTCTTCAGGGGTGAGAGCCCTGTCTCTCTCACCCCTGAAGAAGGCTCCACGGCTGAAACGTTGTGTTCTCTTTCTTCTTTTTTTCAGCATGGAATAAACCTATTAAATATACAGTAGCAAAGGTGGATGCTGCACATTGGTGGTGGTGAAGGGGAGTTCCCATTACCTGTAAAAAGCTTTGAGTGGAGTATCCAGAAAAACGCTATATAAGTGTAAGCAATTATTATTATTGATTAAACATCTGGCAAAACCTGCGACAGATCTAAACCTGGGTCAAAACGTTACTTTTCAACAGGACAATGATCCAAAGCCCTGGAACAAAGCTACAGCAAAGCAACACTGGGGTGGCTTAAGAATAAGAAAGTGAATGTGCTGGAGTGACAAAGTTAAAGTCATAACTTGAATCCTATTGAAAATCAGTGTAAGGCATTGAAAATTGTTGTCCATAAGTGAGCCTCATGCAACTTCATACCTGTAAAACTTGTAAAGTCTGCTAAGAGGACTTATAGCTGTAATTGCTACCTAAGGTACTGTACTTCCCACAAATATTGAGTTGACAGGACTAATTATTTATGTAATCATGTTTATAAATGTTTTCTCTTTAATTTTTGCTTATCTGGCCCTTAGAAGTCTTCATTGTAAGCATTCAAGTTTTGATTAAGATATCCATGCATCCATCCATTTTCTAAACCACTCAATCTAGTACAGAGTCATGTGGAGAACTGGAGCCTAACCCAGCAAGCAACAGGCACAAGGTGGGATATAGAGGATTCCAGTCCTTCTCAGTTAATAAAATAGTAAGTTTAAAAAATATGTATACATCTTCTTGAAATTTCACCAAACAGGACACCATAGGTGTCTGAATACTTACAAGGCAGTAGGTCAACATGTTAAAAAAACTTTAAATGATCATATACCATTTTTTCTTCATTGTCTAACTTCTTCCTTCATTACTGTATAATCATGCTTTTCCTACATAATATCACAAATGCTTTCACTTTTCACAAAAATAAACTTCTTACTCCCAAAAATGTTGTGAATGATTGACAGTATTACTAAAAATGTTTTTCCTATAACAATGGAAGCACACTGATACATTTTATAGAAACATCCATGGCATAGGTAAAACACATTTGGATTCTTTATTCTTAATAAGAGATAATAATAATAACAATAACAACAACAACAACAACAATAATAATAATAATAATAATAATAATAATAATAATAATAATAATAATAATAATAATTGCTTACACTTATATAGCACTTTTCTACTCAAAAGCACTTTACAGGTAATGGGAACTCCCCTCCATCACCACCATCCACCTGGCTGATGAGATAAAAGGCTGGCAAATATGTCAGACATCCCCTTCTGAACTATTGAATGGCAGTTTCACATGATAAAGAACTGCACTGAGTAAATATCTGTGTTGTGTAGTGTTGTTTACTGTGCTTGATTGTACCAGTCTTTGTTATCTTGTATGTGATTAATTATAAATAAACAGTTTAATGAATAGGTGTGTGATAAAGCTATCTATTTTGTGGCAGAAGCCAGGCAGGGGAAGTGAACATGTGGGACTTGTGGACATTGGCTCATCAGGAGTCAATCTGTAAACAGCTGGGGAAGAGACCTTATTTTTTTCCCACCCAAGTAGGAAGTGGGAGACACTGAGAGCTTCAGCAACAGCTACTACGGTAGGTACTGGAGATGGTGAAGAACTGGAAAGGAAACTAGGAAAGTTAACCTGAATTTCCCCCATTCTAGTCAGTTTATTTTTTTTTGGTTACTTATTTTTAGCTTGTTATTGGCAAATATATTTTATCTTTCCTTTTTGTATGCGTATACATAGCAATCTCTCACCCTGCAAATAAAACAGTGTGCAACAAGCCTTGCATCCACAAAAATTAAAAATAAAATAAACATAAAGTGTTTAATAAACGTAAAGTTTATTAAACATAAAGTATATGACTCCCTTCTGCATCTCAAGGGAGGGAACTGATATACTGATGTGTTCTGACATGTTTAATGGAACATCCACAAACACACTTAATGCACCATGTGGAAATACCAGCTTTGGACTGGGAGAAACACAGAGTTAGCGTTAACGCTTATAGGTGACTTGAATGTACTGTAGTATTCCACATTCATAAATTTAATCACTAGTCCTCTGTCTTTGGTTGTTAAATACTGCTTTCCAATGTTTTCTGTGTTATCAGGTTGTTGTCTACACCGAGCATAGCCTGATTCTTGGTTTCTCTGGACAGGTTTGCTGATTGCTGGAGCAATCATCTCTTTGTACAAACAACAGCACTCAGTCAATCTTCATTACTGACAGAAGGCATTATCATACTTTCTCTTCTTATTTGATAGACATCTTGAGGTTTTTGGTGGGCTTCGTAGTCACATAATCAGCACCCTCTGCCTAGGTCAAACATAAAGTACACACCACAAGCCTATTTTGTTAATGCATTTAGTTTTTCAGAGTTAACAAGAAATACAATAACAGTGTATAACATTTCACCAAAGCACTCATACACGTGGCAGATTTTACATGCCTACATTGTCCTTTTGGTATTACATTTGAAGTGCTTGTTTTTTCAATTTGCAAAAGTGTTGTTAAAAGCTAAGAGGGTGTGAATAATTGAAGACAGGCAGGATAAAATAGAATCAGGTCTTGACACTAGATTGCCTAGCAAGCAAATTATAATAGTCAACAACTCTCCCTATTTGACAGAGAACACTGAGGAGCCTGTTTCCTTTATTCTCCTGTGCAGTGAGATAACAAAATATTAAATCAGGCAGCAAATATTAAAGAGACAAATATTTAGTTGTAATAAGCACAAACACACGTCTATTCCTATTATGCACAGATATTTACAAGGCGGTGAGTACCAGGGCCCTGCCTTCAACAAAAACATGAAAAATACTGTAGATCTTATCCCTTCAATTAAGCCACATACAGTATATACTATATACTAGGAAACAGAGGGAACCTGTTCTATATAAAATAACAGGCCCAAGGCAGGAATACATCACTACTTAAAATGAATGCTAAAAAAATGGGAATCTGTTTCACTTTTCAACAATAGGAAGTAAATATTGGCACAATTACTTTATATGACAACAGTCCTTTACCGGAAACTTAAAGTCGGTCTCTTCATTTCCCGAATTCTCCATCTAAAGGTGGAGTCTTCAAATGGTTCTGTTTCTTTGAATTTCAACCTCTTGATTTATTCTACGTTTATATTCACTTTTCCAGAAGGCTGGCTTAATGACTTCACTAAGAATCCTTATCGCTATTAAATATTAGTAAAATTACCTAGCCAGCTGGATAGCACAAAACTGTTGTCAGCGCTCAATAACATGACTGTCACGATCGCTACTCCTCCTCTTAAGGGTGCTCCAGCCCTTCCTTGTTCTGCCCCATTACCCGCACATGTTCCTTATTTCAGCCCCTCTTCAGTTCCCCCTTAAAAGCCAGACGCAGACGTCATTCAGTTCAATTCAACTTTCAATTTTTTTCAACTTTATTGTCATTAAACTTACACAGGTGCATAGTATAATGAAAAGTGTTTCTCATTAGTCACTCAGGTGCAGTATATAAATAGGACA